AAAAAAAAAAAAAAAAAAAAAAAAAAAAATACTATGCTATAGCCATATTATAAAACTTTTTTTTTTTTAATTGCAGTTGGTTTACAATGCTGTGTTCATTTCTGGTGTACAGCAAAGTGATTCAGTTATACATATATATATATATATTCTTTTTTCAGATTCTCTTCCTTTATAGGTTATTACAAGATATTGAATATAGTTCTATGTGCTATACAGTAGGACCTTGTTCTATTTTATTTTATATATAGTAATTTGCATCTGCTAATCCCAAACTCCTAATTTATACCCTCTGCTTTCCCCCTTGGTAACCATAAGTCTGTTTTCTATGTCTGTGAGTCTATTTCTGACAAAATGTTATTCTTTTTTTTTTGGTACACAGGGCTCTCACTGTTGTGGTCTCTCCCATTGTGGAGCACAGGCTCCGGACGCGCAGGCTCAGCGGCCATGGCTCACGGGCCCAGCCACTCCACAGCATGTGGGATCTTCCCGGACTGGGGCTCGAACCCGTGTCCCTTGCATCGGCAGGCGGACTCTCAACCACTGTGCCACCAGGGAAGCCCCAAAATGTTATTCTTGAAAGGTCAAAATCGCTCTTTCTATTGGGCTGACAACATTCTCTGTTGAAGAACACCAATCCTACATCCAGACCCTCCTGCCCATGCCCCCTCTCTGAGTTCTTACCGTTCTTGCAGACGCTGACATTCAAAACTCCTGAGCCCAGGCAGTTTCCTTTAGGTATACAGAAGCCAGCGTTGTCTGAGGTATTGGCTAATATTTCTGCAGGCACCTTAAACCTCAAGGCAGGCAGTCCCTGTACACTCTCAAAGTCACTGAAAGTTATATATACTGACCTGTTAGGAAGTAAGAATAAAAAGTCATTGTGAGCTCCCATCAGCATGATCTGCCCGTACCAGTGAGTTAGCCAACCGTTCTTGGGTATAACATGGCTAAAAGCTTACAGGATAAGTGGAAAATGAAGAGGCAAAAGAAAACTTGAAAGGAGCTCAACCCATTGAATGTGTAATAAAGTAGGAGACAGATTATAATGAAAGATGTTTAAGAGGCAGCAGCTATGCTAACATCTTAACAAGGCTTAGAAGAAAACATAACGTGTGGTAGAAAATCAAGAAAATGAGTTAGAATGGATATTTGTGCTGAAAGAAATGAGTCGCCTAGACTAGCATGGACACATGCCAGTATGCATGAAGCAGAAGCAAAGCAAAGGAAGCCAGGGTGAGGCAGAGGCAAAGCAAAAGCCGAAGAGTTGGCAAAGGGTGCGGCCCGGTAGATTCTGCAGGCTTGGAAAAGTGCCCCATTAGACAGATACTTGATTAGAATATATACTTTTTTTTTTTTTGCGGTACGCGGGTCTCTCACTGCTGTGGCCTCTCCCGTTGCGGAGCACAGGCTCCGGACGCGCAGGCTCAGCGGCCATGGCTCACGGGCCCCAGCCGCTCCACGGCATGTGGGATCTTCCCGGATCGGGGCACAAACCCACGTCCCCTGCATTGGCAGGCGGACTCTCAACCACTGCGCCACCAGGGAAGCCCTATATTTTACTTTTAATATGATATTCTATCAAACAAATATCCCATTATTTATTTATTTATTTTAAAATTTTTTGTTTGTTTGGTTTAATTTTTGGCTGCGATGGGTCTTTGTTGCTGCGCACAGGCTTTCTTCCTGTTTCGGCGAGCAGGGCCTGCTCTTCATTGCGTTGTGCGGGCTTCTCATTGTGGTGGCTTCTCTTGTTGCGGAGCACGGGCTCTAGTGCGCGGGCTTCAGTAGTTGCAGTGTGTGGGCTCAGTAGCTGTGGCTCGCGGCTATAGAGCCCAGGCTCAGTAGTTGTGGCGCACGGGCTTAGTTGTGCCGTGGCATGTGGGATCTTTCCGGACCAGGGCTCAAACCCATGTCCCCTGCACTGGCAGGCAGAATCCTAACCACTGCGCCACCAGGGAAGCCCCATTATTTATTTATATTTTCCTTTTCACAGGCACTTAGATTGCTTTGGATGGAAGAAATTTTCACATATTGAGATATGGGGAAATTATTCTGGCTTACACATGATTTAACTTAAACTTTATGCTAATGAGAACAGCCTCTCTTATAGCCTGTCAAACACGCATTGTACATCTGCTTTAACCATTAAAGAAAAGAATGTGTTTAAAAATCAAAATTGAGTAATTGTGGGTCACACGTTCAGGATGGAGCTGGGTGGCCATTGTGGATGTGGTTTCAGACACATTCCTGCATCACTGAGAACATGAATTTTCTGAACTGCATCAAACTCAAGGACACCACTAGCCATTCTCGAAACAGTATCTGCTAGCAGTGGCCAGCTGCAACCTTATGGTCTCAAGGTCTCCCCTTGTAACTATGCAACCATTTCAGATCCCAACCAATCCTTGCTTAACAAGCACTCTTACTTCTTGCCAGCTCCAGTTATAATTCTTGATAAACAACTCACGTAACTAACTGCAACCTTGAGGTTTTTGCCTTCGCACGTCTCCCCCATTTTGTAGTTTGATAAAACACAAATTCAAGTGCTCCTTGAATCAGTGTTTCCTAGGCTACAGTCCTCAGTTTGGCTCAAATAAAACTCTTTTCTATTCCTATTATAGATTGTTTATTATTTCCATTGACACTTCCAATTTTTCCTAACTACAATCCATGTTGCAGTGAACTTTTCTGTATAAATCTCCTTTATGTTTGTACATGAGTTCTTCAGGTCAGGGAACCTTCATAGGAGAGAAGTGCGGAATCATGGGGTTTGCACGTCTTTGGGTTTACTAAGCATTGCCAAGTGGCTCTTCAGAAGTAGTGGTACCAAACAAGAATGAGTTTCCTCTGTGCCATATCATTTTTTTTGTGTGTGTGTGGCACGCGGGCCTCTCACTGTTGTGGCCTCTCCCGTTGCGGAGCACAGGCTCCGGACGCGCAGGGTCAGCGGCCATGGCTCACGGGCCCAGCCGCCCCGCGGCACGTGGGATCTTCCCGGACCGGGGCACAAACCCGTGTCCCCTGCATCGGCAGGCGGACTCTCAACCACTGTGCCACCAGGGAAGCCCCAACTAGATTACTTCTGACGAGGAGAAGTCTCACAGAAAGCCTTGCAGGAGTGAGTGGGAGAGGAAAGGGAGGCTGTGTGATCAGCCTCTCAGCTGAGCGGTTTTAGGGTGAAGGGCGGGAGAAGCAGCAGTGATGACGGGGAGCTGGGAATCAGGTCACAGAGCAGGAGGCCTTCCTGCCACAGAGGGGACTTCATCATGTGCGTCTGGAGAGAAATAGCAGGTGGGAGCCAGGGAGAGGTTGTGGGCCACGTGTGAGCAGATGGGATCAATGGGAAGGTTAGAGCTCAGCAAAGACCTATGAACTCTGAAATATGGACCGCAGTATGCTTTCTTTACCTTCTATGGAGCGATCACCTGTTGACCGGAAGAAGACCAGGGCAAATTTCACACCTGACAGAGCATACCATAATAACAAAGAGCTAACATTTAATGTTATTTACAGTGTGACAGGCCCTGGGCTGAGTACTTTATTAAAGTAACTCGTTTGTCCTCAAAACAACTCCCAAGGTAGGCAACTCTTTCTATCCTTATTTCACAAACGAGGAAAGTTAGGCACAGAGTGGTTAAATAATGTTCCCAAGGTCACACAGCTGTAAGCGGTGGAGCTGGTATTCAAACCAACACAGCCAGGCTCTGGAGTTAGTGCTGTGAACTGCTACGCTTCGCTGTTTCTCAATATGCCATCATCGTTGATCACTCACTAAGCATACATATCCTCACCGAATAAGTGCAACTATATATAATTCCTCACATTTTTGGTGGTCTTACAGTCAAAGAACTTATTTTTCAGGTTCTTACCTGCAAAAATCAGATGGGAAGACGTAAAGGACTTCGTCTTTGGTGATTAATGGGTGAAAAGAATCTCCATCTGTTCCGTTGATCATATTGCACTCGTCTGCTGTCCACCAGTCAAGCGACCTGTCATTGGGAGACAAGAAAGAGTCCAGAGGGTCACACTTGATTTTAGTCTTTTGGGTTTTCTTAATGGTCAGGACTTTTCAAGACTCAACTGGGAGCTGGCTACCCACAGAATCTTATTCACACGCAGACACAAGGGTGGTATTGGTTGAGGACTGGATCAAGAGGCGCAAAAGCAGGCCCCCAATCCCCAATCAATTCTGACAGAGGCAACAGCCAAAACTCCTTCTTTCCGTCCTCTAAGACAGAGTATCTCACGTAGAGGTTTGGGAATATGCACTTACTTAAAGCAGTGATCCATTTGGCATTTACAGTAGCTTTGTTCACAGCCAGCCCGTGGACAGATGAGCCCTGGACAGATATTGCAGGGAGATAATATTTGTGACAGAGTATTAACTGTCTGCCCCCTCCAAACAGCTAAAGGAGGATTTCTTTTGGGTCACAAGAAAGTTTAACCTTGAATCAACTTTATGCTCATTGAGAGCACAGTTGAGCACGGGTTTTTAAAAATTAATTCCTTGAAAAATAGTATAAAATGCAGAAGACAGGAAAGGACAGGCAATAAATAGTAATTCTTCTAACTTCTGGTCAAGGTGGCCTTCTAAGTTCGTGAATTGAGGACATCTTCCAGAGCAGTGGTTTACAGAACAAAAAAGAGAACATTTAAAAGGTCTACACCCTACTCAAACACAAAAGAACATCTCCCTAGACAATGAAAGGTGATAACTGCCAAGTTGTGAGTAGGACTACAACTCCTGGCCCACTGGGCTGCAGGTCTGTAAGCCAGGAGAAAGATCTGCAAGTCTAGCTCCTGAGGTTAATGAGGATTAAAAGTGGTCCATCAAGGGTGTGAAACCAGGATCTGGGGGCTGGGATTTTCTGGTGAGCGAGAGAGGCTGAAGAAAGCAAAGCTGAGTTGCTGGGAGGCAGAAAGCCCCAGGCACAACCTCATATCCAGAACCTGAGTCAAGCTGCCTGCTGACTCTTTGGCCAGATCTGTGATGAACCCTGGGTAATTGTGAAGTGGAGACCCACCATGTGTACTGGTGTTGGGGTTCCTAGGTAGGCTACATGGAGGCAACTGCAAAAGTGTTACCTAGGGAGAGGTGAGAGGATGGATGGATGGTTGAATGGATGGATGGATAGATAGATAACAGACAGACTTCCCAAATAATTATTCTGCAAGTCAACATTTTTTTTAATGAAAGAAACTTATACTAAGAGATAGGCAACAAAATCAACAATAAGATGAATTCACCTGAGAAGAAATTAAAATAACTGAACAATCTGGCTAATAAATATGTTGTTTAGTATCCTCAAAGAGACAAATGGAAGAATAACATCCGTTAAAAAAGAATGGTAAATTATTAAAAACAAACAAAAAAGAATGAGATAAGAGTAGAGAGACCCAAAGAATGAAAAATAGAAATCTTCAGAATAAAAACAGAATAAAAAAGTTTTCTGAAAGAAAAACTCCATATAAGGATAAGCTCTAGACTGCAGGTAGTTGGAAAGAACTGGCTAACTGAAAGATCGCTCTAATGAATTTATACAAATATAAACTCAGAAAGATTAAAAATTAAAGGATCAAGATACAGAGAATATATCAAGAGGCTCCAATAAATATTTAATAGGAGTTTGTGGGAGGGTAGTGAGAATAGAGTGAATAACAGAGAAGCAATAATTTAAGAGATAATTGCTGAAAGTTTTCCAAAATTTAAGAAAGATACAAGACCTTGGATTGAAAGTATGCCCCAAGGGCCAAATAGAATAAATAAAGTAAATTCAAATCTAGATATGTTACAGTAAAACTGCAAAAGGCCAAGGAAGAAGATAGATATCAAAAGCCAATGGAGTAACATCTTCATAATTCTGAACTGTCAACCTAGAATTCTATACCCAACTAAAACCATTAACAGCTGAAAGTGCAATAAAGATATTTTTAAATATGCAAAGTCTAAGAAAGTTTACCACCCATAGATCCTAACTGAAGGAACTACTAATAGAGTGTTTCCCAACCTAGTAACATTTTGAGCCTGATTAATTCTTTGTGGGGGACTGTTCTGTACACTGCAGGATGTTTAACAGCATCCCAGGTCTCTACCCAGTAGATGCCAGTAGCAACCTCCAGTTGTGACAAACAAAAATGTGTCCAGGCATCACCAAATGTCCTCTAGAGAGCAAAATTGCCCGTTTAAGAACCACTGTACTAATGACCTTCAGCAAGAAGAAAACTAAATCCAAGGGGAAGATGTGAGAAGGAAAAATAATAATAAATTAATAAAATATGTTGGTTTATTTAATTATTTACTATAAAAATAATGAACTTTTACTTATATTTGGCTTCCAAAGAACGTGAAACAAGTTGTAGACAAGAATAACATAGGTGTGGGTAGTAAGAAATGGGTAAAGTTATTGTATCATTTGAAGAAGAGAGATAATAGATAGCTTTAGATTCTGTTAGAAAAAATATTGTTAAAGACAATCAAAGGGTAGAATAGATATAAACCAGCTAAGGGTGAAAAATAGTGTCAAAATAGGTCTAAATATATCAAATAATATATCATTATATCGTAAATGTATCAGTAATTACAACATGTATATAAAAGGATTAAACTCTCCTATTAAAAGGAGAAAGAAAATATGGAAAGAAAGTAACAGATTGGGTTTAAAACAAAATCCAGCTATATTCTGTTTACAAGTAAATCTCCCTCCCAGCTCAGTACCCAGTCATCTAGTTAACCCTCCAAAGGCAATACTGTTGCCAGTTTCTCATATTCTTTTAGGGTTCTTATATCCTTGGGAATGTGTGTGTGTGCACGCGTGCGCGCCCTCATGCATGTGCAAATGTATGTGTATGTACCTGGATATGTGTGTTTTAAAAAATTTAAATAAACTTAAAATTCAAAAACAGTTTTTGCTTTACAGAAAAGTTGTACAGATAATATTCCACGCCAGTTTTCTTGCCTGTATTTCTGGGAAGCTGCGAAGTAACTTTAATGTTCAAAAACAAAATTCCTCTTACCATAGTTCCTGAAGAATTAGCCTCCTTTTCTCTTGAAGATTTCTAATTTCTATGACTTAAAAAAATCATTCTGCTTTATGGGTGGCTTTATTGCAAGCTGCCTCAGTCCCTATTTGGAGGTAGTTTGTTTATAAATTATGAACATTAAAAATATTTTGAAATGCTATAATGCTGACCTCAAATGCATTTCATCTTAAAAAAAAATACACAAACAATGCAGAATCACTAAATTAAATTAAAAAAAGAACGTCTCTCCTTCCCCCAAAACAAGCAGTGATTGGAGAAGCATTTGCACTGCAGCTACATATCATTCAATGACTAGGAAGAGCAAAACTTTTCATTGGCTTGTGATTCCCAATCTTGATTTACAAGATAATAATTTTACATATTTATACTATATCATTTATATTATAGGATATTTTACATAATTATAGATTTTTTTAATTTATAGATTTTTCATCTAAAAAATGATAGTGCTAAACTTCTTTGAAATGAAGCAGAAGTGGACGTTCAATTAAATGAAAATTGAAGAAATAATTACACCCATAAATCATTAGACTTACGTTTTTCCATTCCATTCCACAATCTTGGAAAAGTTAAGGTAATTGTCTTCTCCAGTTAGAAAAACATAGTCTCCATCATTAGTCCCATTTTTCTGAAAATAAGTGAATATGGTCATTTCTGGTAATTGTGATGGTTCATTTCATGTGTTTACTTGGTTAGGCTATGGTGGCCAGTTGTTTGGTCAAACAATACTCTAGATGTTGCTGTATTTTGTAGATGTGATCAGTTCGGTTTCAGTAAAGGAGATTACTGTTGATAATGTGGGTGGGCTCATTCAATCAGTTGAAGCCTTTAAAAGCACAGTCTGAGGTTTCCTGGAGAAAAAGGAGTTCTCTTCTCAAGACTAAAACATAGAAATCCTGCCTGGGCTTCCAGCCTGCTGGCCTGTCCTATGGATTTCAGACTTGCCACTTGCCAGGACCCACAAGTGCATAAGACAATTCCTTAATATAAATTCCTGAACAGATATATAGATCTCCATTGATTGTGTCTTTCTAGACAACCCTAACTGATACAGTAACTAACACATTTAATCTGTATGAAACTGCCCTAGTTGGGCCTAATTGCCTCATGAGACTGAGCCACAACTAGGGAATAGAGTAACTATTTTGCTAAATCCCATATTAACCATATTATTACTTTATGGTTTTAAAAAGTATGAGCCCAATTAAATAATGGACAAAGGATTTGAAGAGACATTTCTCCAGAGAAAATATACAAATAGCCAATAAGTACATGAAAAGATGCTCAATATTGTCAGTTATTAGAAAAATGCAAATCAAAACCACAATGAGATACAACTTCATACCCATGAGGATGGCAATTTAAAAAAAAAGGAAAAGAACAATTGTTAGTGAAGACGTGGAGAAACTAGAGCCTTCCTGCATTGCTGGTAGGAATGTAAAATGTTGCAGTTGCTGTGGAATACAGTTTGGCAGTTCCTCAAAATGTTAAACATAATGTTGCCAGATGACTCCAAAATTCTACTCCTATGGATATACCCAAGAGAATTCCGCTCCAAGGTTTGTATCTAATGGTCATACAAAAACTTGTACACAAATGTTCATTTGCAGCATTATTCATAGTAGCCAGAAAGTAGAAATAAACCAAATATTCACCAACTGAAGAATGGATAAACAAAGTGTGGTATATCCACACAATGGAATATTACTCAGCCGTGAAAAGGAATGAAGTGCTGATACATGCTACAACATGGATGAATCTTCTAAATATTATACTAAATAAAAGAAGCCAGACACAAAAGATCATATATTGTATGATTTCATATGAATTTCATTCCATTTATATGGATGTCCAGAATAGGCAAATCCATAGAGATAGAAAGTAGATTCGTGGTTACCAGCAGCTGGTGGGAGGGGGGAATGGAAATGACTGCTAACAAGTTGTGGTTTTTTTGGGGGGAGGGGCTGATTAAAATGCTCTGCAATTGTAAAGTGCTGGTGGTTGCACACCGTTGTGAATATACTAAAAAACACTGAAGTGTATGTATACTTTTAAATGGTGAATTTTATGTTAAGAGAATTATATCTCAATTAAAAAATAAAAAAGCATAAATCTAGGGCCTGGACCCAATTATATACTTGAATAGAAAAAAAGTGGTATTAATATAATCTCATTTTTCAATTAAAGTTTTCTTGAGCTGTATGTTCTTTCCAAGTTACACTTCTTTTTTTTTTTTTTTTTTTTTTTTTTTTCTGTATATTTACATACATTTGTGCGTCTTTCCATACTTATAAGTCAATGGCAAGTTTTCTAAATATATACATATTTAAATCCATGAGTTAATGATGCTAAAAAAACAAACTGGTCCCTCCTAGTGGATACAGGGGAATTTTGGTAGACACTGAGGCACTGCTCAGCTCCCCATTCAGGGAAGGACTTAACTGCTGGAGTGCTGTCAGTCAGCCCCTCACCCGCGTCTCCTGCATCGGCAGGCGGACTCTCAAGCACTGCGCCACCAGGGAAGCCCAAGTTACACTTCTTAATGGCACAGACAGACACACTGTACATTCTTACAAGTTCTTCATCTGGGATACAGCTTTGATTTCTGGGAAATAGCATGGGTTACTCTGAAACATTTAAATGCTTAACCACTTAGTTTAGACCACATCTGAGTTAAATGGAGGACTTCAAGAAGCAACATACATGTACTTATTTTTTAGTATTTTGGTCTGCTTCTTTTCAGTCTTTTCTCTACACAAAATTTGTTTACAGAACTAAGATATATTATATATAACATACACATATAGTATCTGCTATACACAATTTTTATACATATATACAATTGTGTATACATATATACAATTTCTTTACTTATGTGTATAATATATTTCCTGTATTATCGAAAGTTCTTCCTAGGTACAACTTAATGACTCCATAATATTATGTGGAAATAATTTAACCATTTTCTTATTATTGACTATTTAGTTTTGAATTGTTTTGCTACTATAAATAATGTATGAATATCTTTATGACTAAAAACTTTTTCTGTGCTTTTATTTTCTAAATAGACCACTAAAAGTGAAATTGCTAGATAAAAGAACATGAACATTTTTTAAACCTTTGAAACATAGTATCAAGTTGCTCAAGGTCACCCAGTGGAAACAGCAAGATAAATCAGTTTACATTCTCCAAATGCCTTTTGTTAAACTTTGCTTATTGGATCAACAAAAAAGGGGTTTCTTATCTCTTTTCGAATTTCTGTATTCACTGAGGTTGAGCTCTTTTTTTACATTCAGTCATTTTCCTTAAAACAACATTCATACCTTTTGTGAATTCTCTTTTCAACATTTTTGCCTACACTTGGGTTCTTCTTTTTGTCACTTAACACTACTTCACCAGCTATGTCAATATATCAACATGGTCCACATACATAATAGTCACGTTGTGTTCCACATACGAAATTTTACATGACTTTGAGATACGAGAAAGGACTCCTCTTTAAGGGCGACAATATGAACGTACAACAATTTAGAAGCAAATTCACATAAAAAAATGCTGAACCACCAAATTTTAAAAATGCTTGTGTTACTTCTTGAAGTTCTCCAATGAACTCAGATGTGGGTTAAGCTAAGTGGTTAAGCACTGAAATATTTCGGAGTATGTCCAAGAGCTCTCCCCAGCTCTTATTGGCCCAAGAGTCAGACACTGAATGTCAATGCTTCCCTGTTACTTGCTAGAACTTTTGTTGTTTGAGAACAAGCAGTAATAAATAGGTTTTGTGTTATTGCAGTAGGGTTGTGGGTTGAATACAAGGAACATATTACTGCAGGAGGTTGAGAAATGTTCTGAGAATAAGACAACATTCATACCACTAGCGTAATACATGCATAATCCATCCTCCCAGTACAATTGGCTGGACTGGCTGACCTCTCAAGGATACTCCCCAGCCACCATCGCTTTAGACATCCAAGAACCCACACTCACTGGGAGGTGCTTGAACTCTCTTATGCCAAGGAAAACAGAGGTACCCTAAAATCAACGGGTAAAGATTTGCTGATTGGCTTTCCAGTATGCAAATAAGAGCACCTGATATCCAGCCAGGTCCCTTGTTCTCAGGAGCTCTGTGCCAACACTCTGTCTGTATCACCTCATCCTTCTCACTCACACCCTGTCCCGCACCATTAATTGTTTGGCTGTTTAATCATTAAAGTCTTTGAAGGAAAAGTGTTCAATGGCCTTAATTAAGGTTTTCTTTTTTCATCACAACGTGTATTGGAGCAGGTGGAACGGGCACACAGGCCTAGGGGATCAGAGGGGAATGTGGCAGACGCCACTGGGATTAAGGAGAGATTTGAGGCCGGGCTCAGACGGGTACAGAGCAGGAGGTGCCGGTGAGGTGCAGAAGCCCGTGGTCTGTCCCGGTCTTGAATGAACGACGGCCCAAGTATGGACCTCTGTGCTGCTGGAGACACAGTCAGGATTGGCCAGAGCAGATGAAAAACTGAACAAAAAACACTTTGCCTTTTTACCAACAACACTAGAGACAGTTTATTTGGCTCCAAAATGGAAACATATACCAGTCATTCATATTAATTCAGGGTCATTATTTTGAGCCAGTCATGGAGGGGAAAAAGAATAATGGTTCCTAAAATGTGTTGCAACTTATAGCTTGCAAAGCACTTTTGTGGACTCTCATTTGGCCATTCTAAGCAAACTTTGAAGTGTAGATACCTTTAGCCTCAAGTTACAAATGATGAAGCTGAGGTTCAGGAAGGTCCCATAGCTATTAAGCAAGAAAGTCAGAATGCAAATCCAGGCCCTCTGAGTCTAAGTCTCATGCTCTTTTCCTGCATGTGGGAAATCTACACCAGCTACTAATCTAACTGAGCAATGCCAGGGCTTTTCACTAACAGGGCCTTGTAGAGCTACAGTGGTGCTTGCAAGGAGAGGCAGAGAGAGAAAAAATATAAAGTAAAACCACACATCCTTGCCATGGGAAAGCAAAAGTGCCAATTTTTAAATCTGTCTGTAAATGTGAGTTACATTTTTAACAGGTATTTAAGGATATTAGTTATATAAGTTTGATGAGGTCAGTGTAAAAACAAAAAGCAAGCTATACAATGAAAGTTATCAGAGAAATACTGAGATATTAGGAACAGGATCTACTTGGCAGATGGATGGTAGCCACTGGGACCAAAGGGGGCTTAAGGAAAGCTTTGTATCTTTCTGCAGGAAGTTTCCTGGAAATTATTTCTAGAAGGGAGTCTAGTCACAGCTTAACAAGAAATCGGTGCTTCCTCTGGTCCTGTGGAAGCTGGCTCCTGTGAGACGGAAGCTTCTAGGGAACATCTGTTGGGTCTGCTTGCCCAGAGTGAAGGATTTAGGGTTGGTGGGACCCTACTCCTAGGACCACCCTCCTCTTGCAAAGATAATATTTAAAAGTTGTTTACCATTTCGTTTGAACAGTTTTTAAGTTTTATATATCCCTGAAGGTAGAGGGGCAGTATTATTACCACTAAGCAACTGAAATGCTAAGAGATTACATGATGAGGGTGAGGTTCTCCAGTAGTTAGACCCAGAGAATAACCACAAATTTAAAGATGGGGAAATTCATCATAATTCCATACCCTGTCCTGAACCTACCTCTCTTCCTGAGTTTAAGTTTGTCATTTACCAACCTTCCAACTATCCATTTTACTCAAGTTTTTTTTTTTTTGGGGGGGGGGGGGGATAGATTTTTTTTTTTTTT